GCGCGCCTGCCCCAGCACAATCCCGGACTGTGCTGGGATTACGCCTGGATTAACCACCGACGCTATGACCAGGATTAAACCGGGGAACAATACGGGGGTCATTAGGTGACAGATGGACTTCCTCGTAAGAGGGCGATTTTGGTTTTCAACTTTATAATCTTCTATTGTTATATTATTCGAGTTAATTAATAACGTTTTGCGAAATGGCACCTCTCATTGTTTATATGGTCCTGGTAATTTAGTTGCGAAGTATTTGTTGAGTAAGTTAAACCGGAAGGGGTTATTTGTATATCCAGATTATATATAACAAGTTTGCGCCTTACTCTATATACATATATTGATTTTATATATTTAATGTTATATAATTGTCCTTTGTAAAACTAGTTGTTATGTTATATCTATTTATTGGAAAGACTATATTTTGCTACAGATATGAGTGTATTATTCAATTTATTACTAGTACAGGGGTTGGTTGTCAAATTCTCTGTTATAAGACTAGCCAATCTTAAGCAAATCAATGTTTATACAACCACATTAAATTTAAAACGTACCTTAAGTTTATAAAAAAATATAGATATTGTATATCATCATCATCATCATCATCATCATCATATCAGCCTTTAACTGTCCACTGCTGAACATAAGTCTCCCCCTTGGGGTGTCTTGTCAGTAGTTGCCACGCTCGGCAGGCGGATTGGCAACCGTAGGCTTTAGAGATGTTTTAAGAAAGACGCTCCTGTCTATCCCTCGCCCTTCCTTAGTCGTCCTTTATGACACCCACGGAAAAGGAAGGGATAGCCTATTCTATACTGGGACCACACGGCCATTATATTTATACGAGTATATAACTAGGTATGTATATAAAAATATATTTTATAATCTATTCAGAATTGGAGGTGTAGTTATAAAAATATAAGGCAAAGAAAACCTCCTATTTTTTAAATTCGCCTAAAAATAACACTCCAATTTATTTAATTCATGAAATATTTTGTATTCTGTTTGTGTACATAATTCAATTATGCATAATTAGATCGTTTCCGTCAATTTTCATTTACATAAAAGGACGTTCTTATTTTGGAAGCCCTTCGAATACTGTTGAAAGTCTGGCGCGATGGATTTTGGAGTCTCCGCGGCGAGGCCGTCTAGTCCTCACAGCCGGTGATTTGAGAGAGGACTAGCGACTTATAAATTATTAATTGTGATACAAATTGAACTGAATTGTTGAGGTTATTAATTTCTTTTTTCTACGCTCCTGGTAGCTCTTTTTGTCCTTAGAATTTAAGATATTTGTATATAACAAAATTCTACGAATTTTATATTGTATATGTAAAAGTACTATACAAATGGTTTAGCAACTATATAAATATACTTGCTCCAATATTTTATTTAAAATATCATATAAATGTCGCTTCGGAGTAGTAAATTCCCAATGGCACTTATTGACGATATTGTAAAATTAATTTTATCTGACGCATGTATCTCCCTATGTAGTGGGTAGGGAGCGAACCAAATTCGATAGGACCCTGTACGCCTCTAGCTCCCTGGTGTGGTTTCGACAATTTCTCCGAAATTAATATTTAATACCTGAACCTCTCTAGCTAGCTCTTGGATAGTGAAGGACATTTTAGTTTTCATGGTATTTCAATTTTATTGAATAAAACCCTTGTATTAATTAAATGTAGTAAATTAATGTCAAATCAGTATCGAGTATTTAATAATCGCTCTTGGCGGCCTTTTCATGAAAAGTGTTATATTGTTAGGAAGTACTTGGTAGTATTTTGTATTTAGATAATAATGGAAGGGTAGTCCTGGCGTGAATTTACTGGGTACAGAGGAATAACACCTGAGTCCTCAGGAATGGCAACGCATGGGGGGTATCATGGGCGAAACAGTATACTCTATTATGTCCATGGTACTGCTCATGTCTATAGGCGACGGTTACTACTTTCCATCAGGTGGGCCGTCAGCTTGTTTGCCATTCTAAGTAGTATAAAAAAAAAAGTCCTGTTTGCGCTATCGGTATATACTGGCGGAGCACCAGTGAAGGGTGATAGATGAGAATGAAAACAGGCCAGTTAGCCCATCGTGACGAATTCATCAGGAATTAACCATGATAGTTTCCAGGGAGAATTGCGAGGAGGTCGACCTGGTTGGGTATATTGCTAGCGATGGGATTCTCAGTCTCCATTACTAACAATCCCTTTCCCCCATACCTATATATTGGCTTAATATCGGTTTTCAACTATATAATATTGCAAAGAAGCACGTGATTGAAACGAGTGAGGATATCCGACTGGTATAGGCGATATTGTAACGGGTGACCTTTTATGGCCTTTTTTCCGCAGTCAATATCCAGAGGAACTCAATGTATGTAGGTATATACATATGTTATGTATATAACGAAGCGGTACTAACTTAAACCCATGTCTAATTAGTACACGATCATTAGTAGTTCCAGTACATTTCCATTAGTGTGGCTGAGTTCAGTTCAGATTAGCACAGTTGAATTATTAATTGAACGAGAATGGCTAATTTAGTGGTAAACGGTCGGGTTTACGGCGTCCTGCTGTATTACATATAGATGTATGTGTTATGGCCGCCGTTCACTTATTAATTATGTGCAGAATTACGTTTAGCAGAGTTAAAATGTTGTTCCTTTTAGGATAAATTCACTAAAGGCCATTTATGTGTTCATATTGTACGCACATACAAGGTTATTTTATATACGTATTTTAATTAATAATATGGGAACAGTGTTTATCAATATAATTCGTTTTACCACTAAACAATTAAACTTGCTTTCAATACATGTTTAGATAAATAAATAAATATAAAGTCGTTTTTTTAATGGGTGATAATGGAATGGTAACCCCACCCGCGCTATCGGTATACACCGGCGGGGCACCAGTGAAGGATGATAGGTGAGGATGAAGCAGTTCAGTTAGCCCATCATGACGAATTCAACAAGAATTGTTCACGATGGTTTCCAGGTTTATTTCACTAACTAAACAATATTTAATCACTTATACAGACTTTAATTTTTTTGTAGTGAGTCCTAATTATAATATTTTAGCGCAATTTAAAAAGTAATGTCTAATGAAATATTGCAGTGTCACGAAATAAGCAAAATAATTTCGAAACGAGATTATTTAATAAACAGTAAATGTCTTTATTGTTATGCAGTGAGTATTTCAAGTCATTAGCATCTTTTTGCGAACGCTGAACATTTTTATTTCACTCTGTATATTTCGTCAATTGAAAATAAACATTTTTTGACGGAGACATTTTTAATTTTCTTATTTTCTCTGTAAATTCATTCTTATTTAACAATCTTTTTTTTATTTTTAGAGGGAATTTATAATATATTTTAATTAGTTGATAACAAGGTGCAAAATGTTATATTTAGAATCCAAAAGTAATTACTTTATTTTGTTCTCAGATCTTTCTTTCTCCGATTTTCTTTGATATGTACCTTTCTGTTTCATATTCGTGTATATAACTTAATTAAACTCATTAATTACACAAAGATTTAATGACTGAATACAGTTAAGATACTCGAGTAAATGTTTGAAGTGGTGTCTACAGTTTTATTAAGTCTATTTCGGACTTATGTGGTCCTAGTAGTCATTTCACCACCAATAATAGTGAAATAAAAAAACAATAATAAAAAAGAAAAAAAAATCATTTTGCTGGAGTCGCCTCAGCTGTTGCTATATATGCACATTTCCAGCGAGATGTACCTATATAGCGCTGATTTTCTAACCTCTTATTGTACATACTTAGTATAATAGTGTAATATAGTAGGCATTCTTTCAAACGATGAATTTAGTTCATATTAATAATAACTCATAACCAGGTTACATAGCTCGAAGAACCGACAACCGATGGGAAAGAAAGGTTCTTGAGTGGCGACCTCATATGTGCCAATGCAGTGTAGGAAGATGGAGCTAGATGGAGCGACGATACATTTCCTCAAATACATTGTAGGGAGTCATTGTTGCAGGTGGCTTAGGACCATTCCTTATGGCAGTCTATGGGGGAGGCCTTACGTTCAGCAGTGAACGGATAATGGCTGAGATGATGATGTTATTATAAGGCATATGTACTCTTTCACAAAAAAGGTTCTGTGATAAATACCTGACTAGTTTCGTTCTGACCAGTTTAGAGCATTTCCAATGCTTAATTTTTACATATTTTTACATATTGTATTCATAGAAATATCAAACGTATCATAAATATATTTTAGCTGTTATTTTGACGATCTGAGACCTGAACAAATCCATCTAAACTATAAAAAAAATTGTCTCTTTCTTTCGCATTAAATTCCCAATTTGAAAGAGTTTTGAAAGAGCTTTAGGTTTTTATAAATAAGAAAATGCCCTAAACCTTATTAAGTTTTAGACATTCGAGAACTAATCATGATAGCTTCCAAGGGGAATCGTGTGGAAGTCGACCTGTTAAGGTATATCGCTAGCAATGGGTTAAACTCCATTACTAACAACAATCCCTTTTCCCCTGATATGCCGTGTTAGTATGCCCCCCCCCCCCCCATACTCAACATGTTTCGTCGTTTATCATTCCATGTTTTTTGAGGAAAAAAGTTCAGTTTCACAAGTAGGTCACGAGTAGGACATCAGTAGGATGCAAATAATTTCGATTTTTTTTTACAACTTAAAATGGCAAACAAGCTGATGGAAAATGGTAACCGTCGCCTATAGACATGAGCCTAGACATGTACCTTGGACATAAAACAGTATACTGTTTCGCCCATGATACCTCCCATGTGTTGCCATTCCTAAGGACTCAGGTGTTATTCCTCTATACCCTGTAAATTCCTACCATATCCTACCCTTCAAACCGAAACACAGCCATGCAAATACAAATGCTTCACAATAGAAAGACGAATGGAACAGAGGTGTCCAAGCAAACAATTTTTGTACAAAGTCTTTCTCTGAGAGACTCGTTATGGGCACCATACTAACGGCTGTCGTTGCTTTCAGACCTGCTCATAGAGATGCTAGGCGTGCTGGCCAGCTACAGTGTCACAGTGAAGGAGCTTAAGCAATTGTTCAACGCTATGAAAGCAGTCAATGGCAAATGGGTGAGCGAATTTCTTTTTAATTTATAAGTGTCTTTATTTAAAATACTGGCAAGTTACTTAGCCAACCCTTTATAAAGCTTAAAAAACTATTCATAAATAGGCAAACGAACAGACGGTATTTTGTTATTAGTATTAATGTTGTTGGTATTTTGATATAGTTTAATAGAATATATATACATATTTTATTTTTTCTTTAATACTGTTTTTGACCTTTTTATGCTGTTTTTGCTGTACATTCAAAATGTATTTCTAGTTTTATTTAATAGGAACGTGTCAGCTGGCACAAATTGTATAAAATGAAGTCACTGTTCACATTTGTCTTTATTTTCTTTTAATTTTTCTAAACTACGCTTGTGATGCGGGTTTCAGTCTATTCTAAATAAGGATTATTACCAAAAATGAGCTACATTATCTACTGTAGAGAAACTGTTTTTGATCTGCTGTCTCTGCCTACCCTTAAAAAGAAAGATGCGTGAAATTGTAATAACAAAGTTAACGTTGTCTATTTAATTGGTTTAGATAAACCTGGAATTTTTTAAATTAAACTACAACAAGGAACATTCTTTGCTTATTTAGCTGTGTAAAATATAAAGCAAAATTTAATCCATTTAAAGTCTCGAGGTGCTTAATTTATATCATTATTTCATTTACTACAATGACATAAAATACAAAGAGATGAAGCGTTATGCTTTTATCATCATTATACATTCCATTAGTCGAATTAAATTTGGAATTATCTGGAAAATGCCACTATTTATTTTTGCAAACAGTGCACTTAATACAAAACTCAATCCTTGTTATAAATGCAGGCAACAAATACAACAAACAAAGTAAGCAACCGCGACGTTTGTCCGGCTAATTACCGTTTGGCCGCAATTGCACTACTACGATACAAATTTGAAAAGCATTCGCAGCGTAGCTAATTGTACATATAGCGGCCCTCTTTGTATTTGGTCGCATTGAGGGCTATGCGCGAAACGTCCTCTTCGTTCCTGCTGTCCTGGTAATTTGAAACTGTTACTGCGGGGGCGGAACTCGGTTTAAAGCTTGCTTGTGCTTACCCATCAGTGTAATTGTGTCATTTAAATATATAAAATTATAAAAAATCTCATGATTAGTTAGTTATAGTAAAAATATATTTAATTAAATATATTTAATATTCAAAACCTACAAAACAAATTAATCGTGTAATAAAATTTTTATTCAATCACTGAAATATCAGATTTTGATAGTTAACAGTTTTTTTCATAGCAAATTTGAATTCGTTCCAAAATATAGTTAGTGCACGTGTAACTTGTTCCAGAAACAATTTAAATAATTATTAATTCATTCCGAAATTTGCTTTTTATTATTTAAGAAAGATTTTTATCAGGTTGCCACTAAAATATTTGAAATTGATAGCAAGAAACGTATTTGAAAACTTTCGAAACAAAACATAAATATAATGAAGTAAATGAATTTTTTTTCTAATACGAGTAGATTTATATGATGATATAGATTAACGTTTTAGTAACGTTTAGAAAATTGTTCAATTATATTTGAAAATGGTAAGAAAACTGACGTTGTCACACATCGATATGAATTGGACTATAGCTATCTTAAACTGCGGAATATCGTTAAGGTAAAACATAGGATCTATGAAATGATGGTATAAGGCAAGAGGGAGCACAAAAGATTCTGATGGATCGACATGCAACGACTTAATCGACCCCATATACGAATATAAGATCGGTATGAATTAAGAAATATTGATGATTTTCGTATATTTCTCGATTTGTTTATGAACTCTTTTAACCGATAAATCTCCGTTGCAGCCACGCCACTCCGCCAAGCTGCTGAACGTACTCCGCCAGATGCCGCACAGGAACGGGCCGGACGTGTTCTTCAGCTTCCCGGGCAGGAAGGGATCGGTGAGATAACTAATCATTTATATTTTTTTTTTAAATAAATATTTTTTGTTACGGTTTGGAACGGCAAAGATGCAGACAGTACACCTTTTGGAAGGTGTTAACCGTATCGTACTATCAACTGTACTATTAAAATTACACAGTACACTGTGTTGCCCTTGACATCTCCCATGCGTTGTCATTCTGGAAGACTAAGATATTATGTCTTTGATTATGTAGATAGAGTGTCTCCATACAAATGCTTCGAGGAAAGCGAGTCAACTTTTTCATACAATTTTGCGTGATAAATAGTTGTGTTTCCTTTATAACTTTTATATTAATTTTGTTTTATAATTTTTGCAATCTTTTTAATGCGTAAAAACTTATTTTATTCATCAAATAATTAAATGTAGATACGTCAAGATATATTGTGTGCGTTAGTAAATAGAACACTGATAATTAAAACGAGTCAGCTAACTTAACAATTAGATGACAAAAAATTTACTTGTTTTTGAGACTAGATGCTCTGTTTATATAATCTAAGTATTATGTATTCATAATCTGTAACTTCACTGCATTATCCATGCAAGTATACGTAATTTATAGCAGAAGCAAAATTAAAATTAGGTAGACGTAGATCATGCAGACAAATTGTCGAATTTTGTAAAATTACAGTCTCCCTTTGGTAAAAATTATTCAATCAAGCCTTTTTATCTTACCTTACTTATCTTATAAACAAATAAAACTAATATTGTTATAACAATGTTATTAAAGAAATTTAGTACACAGGTAGACGTTAAATGAATATATACATAGGATTCATTTAATTTTAATTTTTGCGAGTAAAACAGCGAGATACAGCTAGTTCACTTATAAGAAAAATTTGCTTAAATATTCAGACTGCTCTATTCATCACATTTTATGGAAGACTTTGACAGCGATAATATGGGAAGTTTTTAATCTAATTTCACCTTTCATAAGTTAATAAATATTATGACGTGCTTGCTGATCATTAAAAATCTGAAGTACCCACTTGTAAGCTAAGATATTTTTTAATGATCGTTGACAAAGTAACGTAACTTTGATATCCAATATTTTATGAACTTTAATACAGGTGAAATTGTTAAGTAGGAGAACTAAACTAGGTATATAAATAGGTAAGTAAGTAAAACATTTATTAACAAATACAGGGTTGCTTATTTATTACTATTACTTATTTTTTGCCCTGATTTGAAAATTAGGGTAACCTGTGTCCTGTAAGCCTGTTCCTTCCAAAATACGCGAGTTCTTGTACTATGTGTGGTATATATTTGTACATTCAGAATTAACAATATTAAGTTATAATATAAACATAATAAACAGGATGATCAAAAAAAAAAGAAAAAACAAGTTTGACTAGAAGATTACAGTTAATAATTTTTTCAAATCCGTAACATTCAGTGTGTAATGTGAGAGAAGGTAAACAGTATTGCATGTATGTATGTTTGAAGTAAGAAGTTGAGTGGTATTAATATAACTACACGAGTAATATAGGAAAACTTATGTTCGTTAATTTGGAAAGATCTATTACTTACTGATACATATTTTGTTTCCATATTTTGTCCACCCGTGCGACGCCGGGACGGGCCGCTAGTTAAATAATAAAGGTCAATTACTTTGCGAAAATCGACTGGGCGAGTCATAAATAATTCATTGAACTGTCCATAAACTCAAATCTGTCATTTCAGAACTGATGTCTTTCTGTGTTACGTCATCAATAGAAACGGGGTGAATGGATTTCAACTAAATTTCATAATGAAATTTATAGCATCATAGTTCAGTTGAAACTTGTGTTTTATCAGAATTGATCGACCAACATTTAATATACCCTCCATTACATTAAACCACGCATTATATGTATGTAGAAATATTGGATTTGTACAAATTAATTTTGATTCCACGCAAACGAGGGAGACTTTGTACAAAAGTCGATTGCTTGGGTACCTCTGTCTTATTCGTATTTCTACCGTGAAGCAGTTGTGTTTGCATGGCTGTGTTTCGGTTTGAAGGGTGGGATATAGCGTGAATTTACTGGGTACAGAGGAATAACACCTGAGTCCTCAGAAATGGCAACGCATGGGGAGTATAATGGGTGAAACAGTATACTCTGTTAAGTCCACGGTACTGCTCATGTCTATAGGCGACGGTTACCACATTCCATCAGGTGGGCCGTCAGCTTGTTTGCCATTCTAAGTTGTATATAAAAAAGAACGAAGTCAGAAGCAAAACTAGTCATACATAGTCAATAGTTTGGATATTCATGAAAGTAAACAAAAGCCCCAATATACGAAATCTTAATAGATTTAAAATTATTTCCTTCATTATTGGCTTTGTATATTTTGCTATCGCTCAATTGTTCAAAATATAACAATGTTTGTTATTTCCGTACAGATGCATTGCTATTCGTAATGCAGACGTCAGAATGCTGCAGTTTGAATTGTATTAACTCGGAATGCAATAAATATTTTTGCATTGTGAATATGCATTCCTCGTCTCATATTAAAATTCGTAAAACTTTCAAGAATACTGGCGTAGAATACGAAATGGTTGATGTATTATTTTGTTTATATAATTAAATTTATTTGCATTTTTCTTTAAGGGGACAATGATGCAGTCGGAAAAAATACAATTGTAAAATAAGTTTTTGACAGTATAACGAGTATGGTGATAATTAAATAAATGTATTATTTAATTTTATGAAATGAAATGAACCATCGTGAACTAAAATAGGTTAGCTAGCTATGGGGCGCCTTATATATATATTTTTTTTAATAAAATGTCCCGCACCAATTTTCACAGTAATAAATCGCGTATGTCTAAAATAATATATATATATATACCTAGTATGTTTTACAGATTCATTGAAATAAAAAAGTTATTAATCTAAGCAAGTATCCAGTAGCCAATTTGTATTCGTCTATATATACATACATTAAGTTGCGTTGTGTAAATATTTTTTAAGATAGTTAAAAAAAAATTGGAGGCGCAGGGTATCGATCCCCGTACTTCTCGCATGCTAAGCGAGCGCTCTACCATCTGAGCTACATCCCCGATATGAAAAGCATCGAATTTACCGTTACCATTATGAAATAACAACTATTACATAATATATATCACCTCAAGCGATGTTGAATAAATGAATGTTTATCGCCCAACATTCATTCAACCAGTTTTAATACTCGTTACATATATACATATTGTTATTTTATCTATGTGCGTTTTTTTACTGATATAAAGGATTTACAGCAGTTTTAGTATTAACTATTATTTTTAATGACAAATCCTTATAAGTATACCAGAGGGAGACTTTGTACAAAAGTCGATTGCTTGGGTACCTCTGTCCCATTTGTGTTTCAACCGTGAAGCAGTTGTGTTTGCATAGCTGTGTTTAGGTTTGAAGGGTGGGATATGGCGTAAATTTACTGGGTACAGAGGAATAACACCTAAGTCCTCAGGAATGGCAACGCATGGGAGGTATCATGGGCTAAACAGTATACTCTATTATGTCCATGGTACTGCTCATGTCTATAGGCGACGGTTACCACTTTCCATGAGGTGGGCCGTCAGCTTGTTTGCCATTTTAAGTTGTATAAAAAAAAATGTAATAATACAAAGTCTTGTTTAAACCGATCTATTAATAAAACATAATGGGTTCCGTATGTAAAAGAGCCACGGCAAGTTATACAGCATGTATTTATTTGTAGTATACAGTATGAAGTTCTTCAAAAAAGGTTTATTAAGGTTTTAGTGGTCATCCGACGAAACTCTAGCAAGTTGGAAGTCTTCTTTTCATTTAAGAGTTTCCTCTTGTCGGTGCAACTAATTCATACATCTTCCTCCAGCCAGCTCTATCCCAGGCCATATCCTCTATCTTTCCTTCTACTATGTTTCTACTAAGTTGGAGGTAAATACGTCTAATTGCAAATACTGGCTCAAAACATCACTGAGTAGTTTCAATGCAAGAGATAGGGGAGTTTGCTTGGTCAACTCTGTTTGACAATTTCTACAATGATATGCTTGCGTTATTGCATTACTATTGGTGTTGTGGGTGATCACGGGCGGCGGTAGTCACTTACCATCAGGTGAGCCGCATGCTCGTTTGCCCCCTGTGTTGTAAAAAAAACAACTCTGTATATACGGTTGTACAGACCGAAAGACAACAATGCCAGAATTAACAAAAACATCGTTACGAATGCCATCTTCGAAACTGCTTTTGGAACTGCGGGAGAGTTGTCGATAAATAACTTTATGTCGTACAAAGTTCTTTAAGCATATAGTTTTGTAAAAACGTGTGAAATTTTAAAATAAGTCAATAATACTTCAGCTGCCCGCTAGCAACATGTTTTCTAACTGCATTGGGTTGACTGGAAGAGATCTCTGTCAGAGATAAGTCCACCCTTGCTCACAATATTTATAAATGCATTAACATTGTAATTTACAAGTGCAATAAAGAATATATATATATATATATATATATATATATATATATATATATATATATATATATATATATATATATATATATATATATATATATATATATATATATATATATATATATATATATAAAATATTTGCGCCGTCTATTCTTATTACATCTGTGGTTACCAATCCAGCTTTGTGTGATCTCCCTATATAGTTGCCACATTTTATGGCTTTGCTATAAAGCAACAATGTATATAATATCGCGTTTGTTGACTCAAAATACAAAATAACTACGATAGACAAATGAAAAATTAATAATTGCTATTGCATAGATAAGGAATAAAAATCAGTAAATGAAAATTTAAACATCCTAGATTCTACAGAGTAATGATAAAAATATAAAAGTACAAGACAATTTTTTAAACATACAAGATAAAGATAATTGTAAATACAAATATATACTTTGCTCATATAATGTTTAATTTAGTCTATTACTTTGCAATAACATTAAAGAAGAAGGAAGATACACAAGCACGCGATCAGAATAAAATTACAACATC